CCGCCTCGGCCTCCCAGAGTGCTAGGATTACAGGCGTGAGCCACCACACCCGGTCACCGTCTTATATTCTTAAGTGCATAGTTCAGTGGCATTAAGTACATTCATATAGTTATGAAACTAGAGTATAAACATTTTAAACATAAATCTCTGACCTGTTCTTAGCATGCAAGGCCGCGGGGTAAGTATGGAAACAAACACTTTGAGTTTTGTGAAATCTCAAGTCAGGCCTTGACTTCTGTCTTCCTGCAGATTCTCTCAAGTCTCTCAAATGCCAGACCCCTTCTGGGTTAACAGCTTCCTAACAGACATGCGCCACCAGTCTTTTCTTTCTTCCAAAGCATTGCCTAAATAGACTTCACTCATGTTTTCACCCGTCCTGGCTGCGTATATATCAGCTTTGACAGACACCAGGCCAGGGGCTAGTTATCCTAAGGCAAATCTGCACAGGTCACTCCAGTTTGTCCCCTTCCCAGGTCCTTCCTAAAACATTTACTGAGCACCTTCTATGCGAGGAAAGCAGGGCATAGCCCCAGCTCCTGAGAAACTCTCCGCACTTCCCCTTGAATTCCAGGCTACTCTACCCATAAGCCACTGCTGCAGTTGAAATCAAGAGGCTTCCTGCCTCACAAATCCTGGTCTCTACCGCTGGCATGTCCTCCTCTAAGAAAGCCCCTGGGGTCTCCCCATCCAGAAAGTCTTCCTCTGATCGTTTGCCCAGATTTGGGCCTCCCGGAACAGCCCCCACAGCTTTGACCACACACCTCTGTAATCACTGGCTGTTCTCCATTCTTAACTTCAATTGCTCCAACGTGGGTCAATCCTATGGGAGGGGCTATGCCTTGTTTATATCCTTGGAATCCAGATCACTTTTGATACACAGTGGGCATTCAATAAATGCTTACTTACTCTTTTATGCATCAATTAAAGCCCAGGATTTTAGAAAAGCCTCTTACACTCTATGCATATTTGGACTGAAATGGCATCCATACCACACCTACCAAATGTGATTATTAAGCCCTTAAAAAGCAAGAGTACTACTTTGGTTTCACTCCTACCCCCATGGGATACAGTAGCTGTATCCACAGACAGGACCTAATAAATGCTGACTGAACAAAAGATCAAGTCAAATACAATGAAAGAATCTGCAGCACGCACATATTCAAGAGTGAATTTCTCCTCTATCATAATACCATGCTTGGAATATTGTTGTATATTTATTGTCATTTAGCAGTCCAGAATCTAAAGGGCTTGAGCTTGAATATTTAGCAGCGCCCTGGTTTTCTAGAAGTTGTGATCTACCAACTCACTCCCTAGATGAATCATTCAACATTCCCGTAGGAATTGTTTAACTGAGTCGCAGGTTTTCAACTCTGGACCTAAAGAAGCGGATTGTTTCTACCACGGTGCTCCCAATTACGAGGTCAGATGCTATTTCCTGATTCTTCACCAAACCGCCATGATTCCGCACAAGTTCCCTTTGAAGCCTAACTTTCAGAAAGACGAGCCGTCTGGCGTCCTGGAACGGGAAGCACCGCGTCCTCCTGAGATCCGCTCGTTTCCCGAGCACGAGTGGGGTCGGGAGACTCTGGCCCGAGCGCGGCTCCCGTAGGCGACCTCCCCGAGCCCCCCGTGTCCTGTCACCGCAGGGCAGAGCGGAGCGACCGCGACACCCGCGAGAGCCGGCGGATCCCCTCGCCCCACTCCGCCCCACCCCGCCCGGCCCGGGGCGCCGCCGGACCCCCAGCACCGACGACTGCGCTACCGCGGTCAGCGAAGGCGCCACCTCCAGGCCAGGGCCACGGAGACCCTCAGCGGGCACGGTCTCGGCGGGGACCGTCCTGGCACCCCCTGGCGCCCCGCGGCGCCCGCGCACCTGCTGAGGATCCGGCCCGCTCCGGAGCCCCCAGTTCTGGGCCCTCCACGCTCCCGGCGCCCCTGATCCCGGGCACTCCCCGCTCCGGTGCTTCCGGACTCCGGGCTCTCGGGTCTCCGGCGCGGCCAGGCGGGCGGGGCCGGGCGACGGCGACCAGAACCTCGCCGTGCACCGCGGGCCGGGCGCCCCCAGCGGGGAAATTAGGCCCCGCCAGGCGCGGGGTGGGAGCGGCTCAGGCCGAGTTTTCCCTTCCGGGATTCACCGAGGATCAAGGCTGGGCGTCAGTGTCACCTTTCAGGCAGGATTTGGCCAATGAGGATGACTCCCTAGGTCGAGTCTGGGAGAGGTGGGAGGATGGTGCTGTTACTGAACTGAGAAACGGGAGGAATCCCCAGGGTGGGAAAGCAGCGGATTTCGGGAGGGTTTGAGATTGAGGAAACGGGAGAGTAAGACAATAAACTTAATTTAGGACTTCCTGAGTTTGAAGTTCGTGATAGTGTCATAAACAGGGCATATCTGTCATTCAAAAGCGGTGGCAGCTGGAGATGAGGGATCTGAGAATACTGAGTAGGCAGTAAAGTGATGGGGAAGAATCAGATTCCCAGGATACTGAGTAAAATGAGACTAGAAGGAATAGAATAGAAGGCAGAGTGGACAGGGTATGGATTTACTTTAC